CAAAATGACGCAGAGTTGTAAGTATCAGTCAGTATCTGATACCTATCCCAGGCGGAGGCTTCTACGACACAGGGATTCCAAAAGTTGATCCCATAGTACAACCAATGTCTCAACTCTGGTGGTGATTATGTGGAAAATTAGCGCAACATATGATGTATCTGTTACAATAATGTTTTCCAGAAATTGTGTTTTATTTTTGTTGCCTAAAATATTCACCGTTAGATTGTCGAAGAAAAAACGTTAGTGTTAAGTCAAAAATCAGAAATGTTGAGGAGAATACTCGTCATCTCGTCCGTCCCATCGCCTTGCCCCGATTCCTTGCCCTTTACCTAGGTGCGTTGCGTAGTTTCTACTATACGCGTAAATTTTCTCGATATTCCATAGCGAGAGTTGTGGGGAGAGAAGGGCTCTGGCTACGTTACGGCTTATGAGAGAGTACATACTGTGGGCAAGAACGTAAGTAGCCAAAGCGTGCCATGAGAAATGTTACAATTGTTTTGAAAGTATAAAGTAGTTGTTGCTAGCATTGTAAATTGATATGTGCCGTTCCGAGTCGAACCTAAGTAACTCAAAGTATCGAGCTATTCAGCGCTGAATGAGGACTAGAGAGAGCTCGTGTATCAAGAAAATGCGCCGAGCAATACTCTTTTCGACCGCTTCCTAGCTCTAAGAGCAAAGTCAGTGGGGACTCCGTTTTACCTCTCGCTCCGCGTCGCAGCCGGGAGCTGTCTATCTTCCCAGAGGTCTCTCCCAGGCGCGGGCTTCATCAAATTGTGTGGCCTCTCCCTGGAGGCAGCGCGTGGTCTCTTCTGATCATTCGTTAGCTGAGGAGATTGAAATTAACTCGCATTACCGAATCGGCAATAAAAAAAAAGACGGCGCGGGGCCAACAAGATGGCGATCCGTGTGGAGAAAAATCGTATCGAGGGCAGCCAGAAGCGGCCTGTCACGTCCTTTCAAAGTGTTGCAGTTGATATTATAAAGGAAATAAACATTCGAGAAAAGAGTGTGTTATATCAGCTTTAAATGGGTATGGACTAAATAATTAGTGATATGAAAGGAGACTAGTGGAAGTTAATGCACTAACAGTCTGGAGGTGTCACCTCTATCTAATGACGGAAATGTAATTTCCAAAATCCAAAATATGAATATATAATAAAAATGTCAGCAATTCAAATTAATTAAAACTCAGTTAAATAAACTAGTATATTGAAACAATACTTTCATAATTTGATGTATCGTGTCCGAGTCAGATATATTACACACCTTTCACACACGTGGTCCTGGCTTGTGATTTACACTGGGCACGTAGGGTCGCCTCCAGCACATTGCAAAAAGCACTATTGCTTCGACACGTTTTACACAAATAAAATTATTTTATTTTGACAATTTCACTATCCTGGTATATTTTATAACAAACACCCTTCCCGACACACTCTCGTTTTTCTACTAGCGCTGTGTTATAGCAGGCTCATGCATCTACCGAGAAAGGGACTTCCTTCCAGAACGTCCAACTTTACACAAAAAACTGAAGTGAACATTTTAAATCAATAAATCTAATATCGAATGAAAACAAATTCTCTAAACATTATAAATAATGCATTAAATGTCCTCAATAATTGAATGAAATTGTGTACTTTCAATAACAAACGAAATTCATAAAATTACGTTGCAGCGTACTTCTCTGAGACTCCCTCCGTCACCGAGCAGCGCTAGACAGCGTCACCCTTCTGGTTGCCCAACCAAAAGACCCTATGTTTCCCGTGTTAAATCGAATGGTCAAAGAGTAAATGTAGTAAACCCAGTAATACAGCCAAGAAGCAAAAGCTTGGTGCTACGATATACGACGTATTGCGATGTACACGACGATTGCTCGTATACGACGCAAGACACCAGGCACCGGAGAGAGCGCCATTTAGACTATATTTTCTTTCTACATGATTTCATATACATCGATATTGCTTCAACATCTTGAATATTGAAAGTCATTAAAAGGAAAGAGTATACTTCTAAGATATTACGAGATCTTTCTCCATTATATGTAGGGGTTGTGCGAGCGTGTAACCTAAGCACGAGCCGCCACTGAAGAGGACATACCCATTGTTGGCTTATTGCAAAACGTCATTAAGTACATTTTTTATATTTTCCTAATAAAAGAATAAGTGTTTGTTTAAAAATCTACAATCATGCAAAAACTCCTTAACTGCATTTGAGAACTCTAAAATCCATAAACTTCTAGGTAGTTCTTCTTTAAATGCACATTAGACTGATTTTAGAGTGTAAAAATAGTTTAAAATTTGACTTCCCAGAAGTTTAGTAAAAGTAACTAAGAGACTTTGTGCAATAAGCCGAATATATACACTTCTTGTAAATAGTAATATTTATTATTGTCCAGGAAAATCACAAGTTATAGCGAAGTCCACTCACCATGAAGTTTTGATGTTCTAAAACCTTCAATAATTAATGGAATATTGCTAAATATCAAGTGTTGCACTAATGAATCGAGCGACATATCAGCAGTACTAATGCCTACTCTCTTCTGTACATGCTTATAATTTCTTAAATAATCAACATTTGAACATGACCTCTAATATAAAACTAAATTGTAACACGAGTTTGCAAAAAATCTTGTATGCACTCCGCAGAAAAGTTAACGGATTCTCTTATTATCACTCACAGCTCTGCTACGCCTCGGGTGATTACTCTTGCATACTAAGTTTACATTTCAGCCTTGATACATAAATAACTATTGTGATACATCGGGCTTCATATCCGGTGATTTATTTTTAAATTATGTAAATTATTATGTGCCTGTAATGCTTGAATAAATTATTCTATATTATTCTCTACTTTGCTTCCAAACATTAATACATTATTTATGAGAGTAGCTCATTGTAAATAATGAGCCTGAAGAGTTCTCTCTTAGTGAATCTGTCATCTACAAATTGTGCTGGAGAATTATTAGAATAGTGTGACATACTCGAACGTCACACGGGTGTAATAGGGGAATTGATACATCGAGAATTTTAGGATCCAGGGAATACGCGCAGCATTGCAACGGACTAATGAACATATAGGCGTTCCGTGCTGGGTGCTAAAAACACGCGTGTAGTATTGCTGAGAAACGGTACAGCCTGGTGGCATAAACATGGGATTGATGACGGCAGGGCGTTAAAAATTTAGGTCAAGCGAAGAAAAATAAATTCTCATTCTCACTGTTCAGATGATAATAAAGATTACGACATAGTCATTTTGTCGTAGAAAACTTGTGTTTTGGGTGAATGTTTGTTTGAATAGTTCATAATAGTATAGGCTAAGCAGTTCTGTTTATTTGGGTTTAAGTGGGTAAATGTTTGCATTTCTAATGGTAGAGAACGTTTGTTGTAGACCGGAAATTTTGCATCTTAAATATTTTGACTTCGTGTTCGTGGGTTTAGACGAGGATAATTCCGTAGTGGGGAATTCAAAATTGTTAATTGAAAGGAAATAGTAGTCGCGAATAGGGATTACAGTCGAAACCCAGTGACGGAAAGCCGCGCCGCGGTAACATTAAAGCAGACCTGGAATCTCCGAAAAGCGGTCTGAATAATTAGAAACAGTTGGGAAATACTTGAAGTTTACACGGACAAAAGGCTCATAGACTACCACAGGAGGATTCAGAACATCCCCTTCCGGAGAAGACGATGCCATCAAATGGACCGAGAAGATTGTCCGTAAGCTTACGAACTTTATCAAAGTCGTGCAGTTTAATAATGTTGCAAGGTCATAGCCTCATTAATTAATAATGAGCTCAAAAACATGTCATAAAAATTATGTAATAAATGTTAATTGTTACTTGGAAAGAAAATTCTGATATTTTATGGAATTGCCATCATTTCAGTTATGAGTAAAATTCACAGAATTTCCAGGAATCGTGATTTCTGCATAGAGTCACATATCCACGTGACACAGGTAAGGTGACGTATATTGTACGTAGCAAAACCTTTGAAATAACTTGTGAATACGAGGAACGTTACAAAGGGTTGCCCAACTTAGGGCAAATTAATTTATTGAATTTTAGTTTAGATTGTTGACTATTAACTTCAACATTCAAGAAATTGAAAATAACCACAGAACCAGAAAATGTAAAGCTGGTAGAAATACGGAGATGTAAAACTGTTACAAAACTAAAAATGTTTGGGCATTGTATCCCTAGGAATAATATAATAATAATAATAATAATAATAATAATAATAATAATAACAATAATAATAATAAAATAATGTCTTTATGAATTGCGATGCTCAGGACGTAGGAACTGCTCTTGCACCTAACCACTGAATTTACATAGATACAGAGTAGTAACATTTTAAGAGTGGGAGGACCAGATGTATATTTACGTCTGTGAGTGCAAGACAAGGGGCCATCCCGGCGTACGCTGTAAACGATTGAGTGCACCCAAAAAAACTCAATCAGGGTGGCGGCTTGGGGCCGATCATTAATTTATTCATATTATTTCATATA